TTTTTTTTTTTTTTTGCCTGACTGGCTCCGGATCCAGGATGGGGCTCAAATCCTCAAATCGGAATGGGCTGAGGAGGAGTTGGAAAAGCATCATCTTCCTCTTCCTCCTCCGGCCTGGCAAAGGCTAGAGTTTCCTTCCATTTTGGGGAGAATTTTAGCTTATTTAGATCGTTCCTCCCCAGATTTGGTCAATAAAAGGGGGCACAGCGTTCCCGCGATAACCAGCGCCACCGTGGGAAGAGTTTTCTTCAGAAAAAGCGTTTTCTGTATGGTTTTTGGAGGTTTGGTTTTTTTTTTGGAATAGAGGGAAGCGTGTGTGTTTTGCAAATACATCTTTGATGCCAGGACCCCAAAACTGGGTTTTAGACCCCAAAAAGCTGCCGAACCTCAACCGGGAGCCCCGATCTCCGCACCTGGCTTTGTCCAAGGGCTGGTCGAGCTCCTTCCCGCGGGATTTATTGCCGGTGAGACCCGGCATCGCCGGCTGGGGATGCTCCTCCGAGATCCGCCCTCCTACCCGCTACCCACTCGTTAGGCTGCATTTAATTAAGGCTTTCAGGTATTGATTTAACGTCCCCTCCCAACAGATGCGATCTTAGCCGGCTCGCGGCGTAATTAGCGGGGATTAGGCGAGCGCCGGACAGGAGAGGAGGCTCGGCCGCCGCGCCGGGGTGGGTTAATGCCAAACACAGACGGTTTAATGCTTGTCCGTCTGTCTGTCCATCACCAACCCGCCGGGGCTGAGCTGCCTCTCTCGGCCTCGGGGCTCCGGCTTCGCCAGATCCCGGCGCGGAAACCAAAGCCGGGCCGGCAAACCGGGAACAACGGAGCAGGAGGAGGCTGAGGGACTCAAGAACTTGGTTGGCAATCTCTCATCCCGCGCCTCTCGAGCGGACGGACCTCGGGGAGCAAAGCCCCTCGCGGTGGGGGGAGAAGACGGGGTTCAAGATCGCCTGAGGAACCTTGGCAGATATAAAGCTATGTCTTTCAAGACGATGTGAGGGAGCTCAACGGAGGTAAGGCTACGTATTCCAAGACGAGCTGAGGAACCTCAGCAGATACAAGTCCACAATATTTCAAGATGACGTGAGGAACCTCGACAGATACAGGTCCACGTATTTCAAGACAACGTGAGGAACCTCGACAGGTAAAAGTCTACGTGTTCCAAGATGACCTGAGGAAGCTCAGCAGATAGAAGTCTACGTATTTGAAGACATGAGGAACCTCAACAGATACAAGTCGACATGTTTCAAGACCACCTGAGGAACCTCAACAGATGTAAGTCTTCGTATTCCAAGATGAGCTGAGGAACCTCAACAGATACCAAGTCTCTGTATTTCAACACCACCTGAGGAACCTTGAGAGACAGAAGGCTACATGTTCCACGATGACCTGAGGAACCTCAACAGATACAAGTCTACGTATTTGAAGACGATGTGAGGAACCTCGACAGACAGAGGTCTACGTATTTGAAGACGATGTGAGGAACCTCGACGGATATAAGCCTACGTATTTCAAGACAACCTGAGGAACCTCGACAGGCATCTGGGGCACATCTGGCTGGTCACCAGCGGTGCTCCTCAGGGGTCGATACGTTGATCAGCCGCCTGGAGGCAGGAGTTGAAGGCGAGTTTGCCGGTGACACCCGACGGGGAGGTGCCGGTGATTCCCCTGAGGGGACAAGAGGCCTTGCAGAGGGATCTGGATAGATCGGGAACGGGTCCAGAGGAGACCACGGAGACGATGGAGGGGCTGGAACCCCTCTGCTGTGAGGATGAGGAGGGTCGGGGTTGGTCGGCCTGGAGAAGGCTCCTCGTGGTGGCCGTTGCTGCTTTTTAGCAGGGCCTGTTGTGGTGGGACAAGGGGGAACGGTTTTAAGCTAAAAAAGGGGAGATTTGGGCTGGATCTAAGGAAAAAAATTACTACGCTGAGGGCGGGGAGACCCTGGACGGATCGGAGAATCGTCGAGGTTGGAAAAACCCTTTAAGATCACCGAGCCCAACCGTTAACCCGGCGCCGCCGAGGCCACCGCGTCCCCCCGGCTTTTAGATCCCGCGGGCGAAGGGATCGTTCCCAAGCTCCGACCCCATT